GGAAGTGAAGAGGGAGTCTTCAAAAGTTCGGGAAGATGTTGAGAAGGAAAGGGAGATGATGCAGTTTGCAGATGTGTTGCGTGAAGAGAGAGCTCAAGTGAAACTCTCAGAGGCAAAACATCAGCTTGAGGAGAAGAATGCAGCTGTTGATATATTGAGGAGTCAACTTGAAGCTTTTATGGGAAGTAAAAGAACCAAAGAAAAGGGACGTGGTTCTGCTCATCTGAATGATGAAGAAATTTCTGCGTATCTAAGCAGAGCTCATCTTGGTTCCCATCAGGATGATGAAAAAGATGAGGATGGAGGAGAAGTTGAAGATGGAATAGAATGTGAAGAGGATTCTGCTGAAAGTGATCTTCATTCCATAGAGTTAAGCATGGGCAACAACAACAGAAGCTACAACTTGATTCATGCTTCTGGGGCTGCTCGTGATCCAAGGTGGGCTGCACTTGATGTTGAAGAAATTAAAGGGAGGAAGTCTACATCTGGGAAGCCACCAAGAAGAAGCACTTCTTTGCAAAGAAGCATATCAGATGGAGTGGAATGGGGTATGCAAGCTGAAAAGCTCCAAAATTCAGGAGATGGGATAGATTGGGAGAGATTTCCTGAACTGGAGAGGCAAAGACAAGAGCAAGGAAAAGGTCGTGGAGATGAAATGCAAGGTTATAAATCATCAAAGGGTCTTAGGGACCAAATGTTGTCTGGTTCTAGGCTTGGACCGGCTAGAGTTCATGCTAGTCCAACACGGCAATGGGGGCAGCCATGGCCTTCCCGGGATCCTACCGGTACATTTCAAGATAGGCCTCCCAGTGCGCAAGGCAATGGTTCAAAGTCGAGGCTAGGGGAAGCTAGAGGCGAAGGCCAGAATGGCAGAAGGTCAAAACGGTGAAAATTTCTCTTTTTTGCCAATGCCTTGCCATAGTCAGAGCCTTTTGTTTTGCCACGGTGGTTTTGTAAAAGCCCAGGCTGGTGGAAAACGATTTGGCTCATCGATGCTTTTGGCTTGTGATCACCAGGTGCTGCTAAGTCGCAGCAATCTCTGCTCATTTTGTGCTAGACCATTCTCTCTTGAAATGCTTGTGTTGTAGATTTTTCGAAGAAAGCTGTGATAATCTAGCGAGCTTGTCCTGTACAAAAGCTTCTAGTATGTATCATGCATGTCTCAATTTATACTAGAAATATTATATATTTTCTTTTGTTTTTTTTTTCCTTCCTCGTTTTGTTATTTCCTTTTCAATTTTCGCCCTTCAGTTTTTTTTTTCTTCTCTTATATGTATTTGCCATTTGTTTTTTTTTTTTTGGTTTCTGGGCAACTTTTCAATCTTGTGTATGATTATTAAGGATGAGGCAACAAACTTATAATTAGCCAATACCCAACAGCATTATAATAGTGCAGTGACAGATGAAACGCGCATATCTAGGGGTACTTTGACTGTGAAATGAGGATTAGATTTACAAAGTACTTAATTCGAAAAACATGCAACGCAAGGCGGGATCATGCAGTCTAGAATATTGGTTCATATTATATTATGAGCTTATTTAATTCGAGGAATGGTCAAGGGAATTCGTATAATGTATGGAGGTGTAGGAGGCCATTGCACATTGTACAATTCATGCCAATATGTAAATGGTTTATTTTTTTGTTTGGATGAATTTAAATTATGATACAACTTTCAGAGGCCGATTCGATCATGAGCTGCCAAAATTCAGAGCAAAAAAGATCGTGAGATGTTACAACTTCAAATTAATCTAACCAACATCTGATCAACTGTACAATATAATCTAATAGGCAGGCATGAGCCGGAGAAATTTTTTTATATGGGTACAACAGTCACTAAGTTCAAAAGCTTACTACCAGACACTTCCTAGTTCTAGTAGATTAAGGTGGCTATTTTCAAGCAGAGTGTACATTAGTAGTTAGAGTCGGGGCACTACAAGGTAGAGTCAGAGTCATGCATACAGCACATTTGCATGATCAGAAACTTCTGTTTTCACGGTTGCAGCAAACAAATCGGGATTCGGTATGCTTGTCCTCCTCCAACCAACAGCATTTGGCCCTGCGTTGTGCCCAAGCCCAACTCCGCCAAATTCTAGTTTTGCTCGAGCAATCTCTACAAGATCTAAGAACATCAAATAGTAGTTTAGATATCATCTCAACTCTGTGTGTGAGGGAGGAAGAGAGATGGCTGTTTGCATATCATCCTAACTGTGATTTACATGTTTCTGAAACAAATTGTTCATACCTAGATCAGCTGAGATAAGGGATTCTCCTTGGTAATTAGGTCCAGCCAATATGGTTCCTGATGGGGAAACAATAACACTCCCACCAGCACATATGATATCCAAGGATGTCGCATCATTTGAATCTCCAGAAACACATTCCAGTGGCAGTGGATAGTCTTTTCGTCTGCAGAACTGGTTTGCAGATAGAACAAAGCAGCCACCTTCTAGGGCAATATGGGTCATGGATGAGCGCCAAATCTCCCTTGCTTCAGCTGTGGGTGCACAATATATTTCAATGCCTAATGATATAGGGGCAAGAAACTAAGATCAGAAACCAAGAACTCTTGGACTAAAATTCCAGTGAGTCCCATGTTAAAGAAAACAATCGTAGTATTCTAAAGGTGATAAAGTAACTAGTGGACTTGAAATCATGACCATGGCTGCGGCAGATAAGTGGAACCTTTTCTTATGTTGGATGGTCATGGTGATTTTGGTTGAAAAGTTGAAAACACTAAGCAAGAGTGTTTATGTATGATAGCATATTTACCTTTGCCATATAATTGAGTTCTTAGATCTGGCATTCTGTTGTCCCAACAAACAAGGCCACCTATTCTCCCAATTTCAGTGTCATACACAGACACTGGCAATTTTGGTCCAGAACACCATACTGGAGATTCTGACGCCAGTGGTAGTAGCTTGGGATGTTTTCCAAGACACTGGCCAAATGAATCGAAAAATAACACTGTGCTACAGAGATAGAATCCAACTCGCTCCACTACTCCCATTACTAAGTGAACTTTATATTTACTTGCAATTTTTGCTAGCCTGTCCACTTCAGGACCTGCATATCAAACACCAAAGATAATTTCATTATTCAAATAAAAAAGATAGAATGTATTATATGTATGACATAGAATTTCAACAGCCACAGATAAAGTAAATCAATGATTTATCATAAAACTGAAAATTCAAAGACATTGACTAGATAAAACAAATCAATAGTTTATCAGAAAGCTAAACTTACACAAGCTTCCAACTTTAGCCGGGGGTCAAGACAACCACATATAAAGGTACAAACAGCTATGTGCATCTGAGAAAAGATTTACAATAGTTCTTAACTTCTTACAAAGTATATACCAAAATTTTTGACTGCCAGAGACTTGATATAAACCAGCTTGAAATTGTTAAGAGTGCTTCTAAACATAGAGGGAAAGATTATCAACAATTCTAAATGTCACACATGCTAACACTCGGAACAAGCAAGAAGGTAATATTATGCAGAAGACCACATTCAAACGAAAACTTCATCTTCAGTGGAAGGAATCTGACCAGGCACATCAATGGCTGAGGCATAGTACTTCTCGAAGGCCTGCTTCTCCTCCGGCGAAAGAGTTGCCGTTGCAGAATCAAACATCAAACCACGGGGATAACCACCAACAAATGCTTCAGGAAACACAACCAATTGCGATCCATATGCAGCTGCACCAGCAACAAGTCTCTCTGCTTTATCTGCCAACAACCCACAAATGACAGAAACCCAAATGGTAAATGGTTAGGAAATTAAAATATTTGGGGATCAAAAAATATAATATGAACTTGCAATGGCCTACAAGGACATGGTCCCAGAGTACATAACAAAACCTCAGGTCCACAATCTTAAGGAAGGAGGAGGGTAGTGGGCCCTTAATCTCCCAATCTTCATACAGAAAGAACATATTTTGACCCACAAATCCTGGTCCCACTTAACCAAATCATAGAATACAAAGAAAACAAAGATCTTAAGCATCCCATAAACCCCAGAAACCTCAACAAGACCCCAAATATGAAAACAAAAGCAACCGATTTGAGAGAGTTGGGCAAAGTGGCTACCTAGAGTCGCTGGAGTGTCGAAGAACACAGTGGATGCTTGAACCACAGTAGCCCTCACAGTGACGCTCGGAAGACGAGCCACTGCCTTGTGATCCAACCAATCTTCTGCTGCACCCGGGTATCTGCAATTGGGTTGGGGAACCGGGTCGGGTGGAAGCCGACGGGTCCTGTTGTTAGGTTGTGGTGGGAGAACGAGCTCGGGTCGGACCTGGGAGAGGAGCCACTGGATGGTGTCGCCGTCGGATCGGTGACCCAGTTCTTGGGTCAGCCGGAAAATACCGGGGCAACAGGTCACGGGTATTCTGACCCGCCTGTGACGGCCGTTCACTGTGGAATGCTTGTCAATGTAACGACGCCGTTCTAGCTGTTGCTGCTCTTCTTGTTGTGGCGGTTGAGTTTGTAAAGAAGGGTTCTCTGGTGGGTCTGTGATGGCGAGTGTGTTGGTGGGTAAGGTTTGATTGATCTCCATTTGAATTTTCTCTCTGCTTTTGGTTGGTACTTGGTGTAGTGGCTTAATGCATGTAATGTGGCTGAGCAGACGACTTATGGGCAAAGGACAAGAGCTTTGCTTTTCTCTTTGGCCTTTGGGCAAAGTGTCTGTCTTTTCCTCTGCTCTTCATCGTATTATAGAGAAAACAAAATTGAAAAAAGATTGCATTTTGCCACGTCAGTTACATGAACATGTCATTAATCTTGCAAGAAATCTAGTGCCTGGTCTGGTCAAGTCTTTCTCCATTTTGCTTTTGGCCAAGATGAAGATGAAAGGTGCAAGTTTGCATCTTTTTCTACTGTTTTTAAAAGAACACCTGAACTATGGAAAGATTGATATCAACAAGGATGTTTTTCCATCAATGGACCAAATGCAACTAGGTGAGATGCATTCATGAAAAAGAACCAAAGACATCTTTCTCAAACAAACAGCTGGTTGAATTGACTTTTGAGGATCAGGGTTTTTCTTGAAAAATTACATGGCATTGGCAAGAAAGACCAGTCTACATATAAACATTTGGTGATCATAAGTAACTTAGAACTAACAAAACATCACTCAATCAAGAGTTGAAATTAACAACTTGACAACATAACATTTCTTACTCAACTGTGAGACAAAAAGGAACAAAATTCAATGCTTGAAAAGCATCAAACCAATTAATCATCCAGGAGCTTTCTTAGTCGGTCCTTGACGAAATTCCTGCGAGCCTTGACCCGGTCCTGTTGTGGGCCCACGTTGGCAAGTGAAAGATGAGCTCCGACGGCGAACAGCGCCACCCCCGTCACGAAACAGCACGCCGTCACCGCCAGCTGCTTGGGCGTCGGTGGATACGACCACACCGCCATATCTCTCTTGTGTTTCGGTTTTTGGCGTCTCTCTAATATATTTATACCAGTGAATAAGAGTTGCCGTTTTAAGGAGAGGACAAACGACATGTCGTCAGGTGAGAAGCCTCTGTTTCTGTGCGACGAAAATCCTGACGAGGAAGAAGAGATTTTAAAGCCATGCAAAGCACAAACCTTTTTTCAATCTCATGCCTACCATCCTCTTCTGCTCATCGTTAGCTTCACCCAGTAGCTTACCCAGTTCGTTTTTGCCCTCAATTGCGACTTCGCTCTCTGGGCATGCGAGTGTTGGGGATTTGGTTGAGGCCTACAGGCTGTTTGATCAGATGCCGCAGAGAAATGGAAGAGCAGGGAATTAAAAAGATAAGCGGTCGCAATTGGATTAGTTCAAAAGGCTGAGTTTCTTGCCTAACTCTCTTGATGCAATGCCTAGAGTTTATGCAGATGACAGCCAATGCTCTCTGACGTCTACATTATGGAGTTGGAATTTGATTAACAAATTTTAGTGATTAGATGATGTGTTTGGATATGGCTGGGGCTTTATGTGTGTCAATTCTCTCTCCTTCTGACTTCTGAGTGCTTAGTGTAAGTACGAGAGTTTAAGGCTACATATTTTTTTTAAGTGAAAATAGAACAATGCTCCTACTCTGTCTTGGCACCATGGCTATCCAAGTATGGCTACACACTAGCACAATCACCAAGTGATATGAGTACTGCATTTGTGATTTAGTAAGACGGGATTTGCAGCATTCATTTTCTTAATTTTTTTTAAAATCATTTTATAATATCTTTATTGTTCTTATTCCTAGAATTGTAGACTAAACCATGTTCCTACTCAGTGTTAACATCATCATGGCCATCCAAGTATGAGATTGCAGCTGCAGTATGAAGTGCTGCTCCTATTGGAAGAGCCTCCTCATCGATAAAAAAGTAGGGCGAGTGCAAGTCTCGGTCTGATTTCAGAGTCTCATTCTTTATCCCAACAACAAAGATTGCAGCAGCAGTCTTCTCCGAGAAGAAGCTGAAATCCTCCGAACCCATTGTCAGTGGCAGAAGCTGCACATTAGGTTTCCCAAGAAGGACCTCGCCGACCTTCTTCACATGTTCATACAGCGCGTCATTATTAGTCATTGGTGGATGAGGCAGTGGTCTGTCCTCCATGAAGTCCACCACCGCAGTACAACGATGCACAGCTGCTTGTTGCTCTATGATCTGTAAGTGGAATGTATTTAGTGAAATCTACTTAGATTGAATATGCGTTTAAAATCTTTGGACAAGGAGGGCATGTCTACCTCTTTAATCCTTTCTTTGAGATATGAGAGGCCCTCAGAAGTCAAGCTCCTAAAAGTTCCCCCAAGTTTCACACTGTCTGGGATCACATTTAGTGCTTGACCTCCCTGTAGATACCCAACTGTTACCACCTACAAGATACAAGATGATGGATCAGAATTATTGGTTGTCAATTGCTGGTAAGATGCTAAAGCCAATGACAGCCCTCATTCTACTTTTTATTCGGCTTGTATCACGGGTATATAGAGGCTAATGTCAACCATTGTATCGACTGGTTCGAAACCATATCAATAGTAGTCTACTCATTTATGAAAAGATTTTAACTGAATTTCAATGTCTTACAAAAATTTGCAGAAAAAAAAAGCAATTAAGAGTACTCTGGATTCAAGCGGATCCGTCTCTCGAGACACAATCTGTTGAAGAGCAAGGGTTGTCAAGGCTGCTGCAAGAATTGGGTCCCTTGTCTGATGAGGGGATGCTCCATGCCCTCCTTGCCCTTGTATTGTAGCTGAGAAGAGCCCTACACCAGCAAGTATTGGACCACGCCTCGAAGCTACGGCACCAGTAGGCACTGATGGCAAAACATGTAAACTCAAGATGGTATCAATATCATTTAAAACACCATCTTGTAACATATGGTAAGCGCCGGCATAACCCTCCTCTCCAGGCTGGAAAACTAGTTTCACAGTTCCCTTCAATAACATATTGAAATATTAGGACCTGCAGAAGTAGATTGGTAGTTTTTTGGCTGTTAAACATAACATAAGAGATAGATTTTCATCTACCTTCAACATATCTCGTTTGTCTTGAAGCAACTTGGCTGCTCCAAGTAGCATTGCTACATGAGAATCATGACCACAAGCATGCATCTTCCCATCAATCTTGCTCTTGTATTCCCAGTCTACCAATTCCTTCCAAACAAAATAAGATTGGTTTCAAGGAATCAGACATCTATAGTAGCAGCTACCTAAAAATTACTACTGCGAAAGGGAGTTCATCATAAAACGCAGTCATGAGGAACCAAGTTGACCCAAATGTGACACTTGGCTAAATATCATACTATTATAAACATATATAATGAACTGCTCCATATCACATTCTCATGCATAATTTTATAATGGATGTCAACCTTTTCAGATTGTAAGGTTGAGACCTACTTCGTGGGTTGCTTAGCAGAGTGATTGAAGATATGAAGCAGTAGAATTATGGCAACTCTGTGTACGAGAGAGAGAGAGAGAGAGAGAGAGAGAGAGAGAACCTGCAGAGGGAGGGCATCCATGTCAGCTCTCAGAGCAAAGACAGGCTTAGAGCCAGAGCCAATAGAAGCCACCACCCCAGTTTTGGCTACAGGCCACTTGTACTTAATTCCCAGTGAGTCAAGCTCGGACCTGACGAGTTCACTCGTCCTGTGCTCCTCAAATCCCAGCTCAGGGTGCTGGTGAATTCTCCTCCTCAACCCTCTCATCCATTCAAAGAACTCGGGATCTCTTGCCGCTTCCAGCAACTCCCGAGTCAAGAACTCGAGCTCTGATCCATATTCAGCCCAAGTTTGATGAAAGAGTGCAGCTTTTAGTGATAACAAGAAGCACAAGGAGAAAGTGAAATTGAAACCCATTTGAAAAATATCTTCTGAGATTCTAAGAACACCATGTGTGCCTCTTTGAGATCAAGTAGAGGGGTAGGTCAGATTTGCACACGTGCCTGAGAAAGTTGTGTTCTTTTCATTACTAGGTAGCTGCATTTACCCAAAAATGGAAACCATTTTATTTTGAAGTGGTTGATTAAGTCAATTTAAAGTGCTGGTTTAGCCAAAAATGGAAAACAATTTATTTTGATATGGCTGATATGTCAATTTAAAGTGCTGGTTTAGTATGAATGATCAAAGCAAAAAGAATAATTCTTGGTTCAGATAAAAAAAGAAGAAGAATAAATCTTGGTAAAGTAATGGAGCAAAATAGGGGTGACATTGATACCGACATTTTTGGTGTATAATAGATAGTGGTAGGATTTGCTTTCAATAAGGTCATGTCATAGGGAGGCAATACAAAACCCCACTTACATGCATTAACCAATCTGAGATGAACTTTTTGAGATGCCCTTCAAAATTGCTTCGTTGAGATGGGAAATAGCATTAAAAAGTCATGGAAGAGGAAGGTCATTCTCTGCTTTAACAGATGATTGAAATCTTAAACTTCGTACTGACCTGACCTGACGGTAGATGCTGATCTAGCAAGGAATTAAGTTATTGATGTCGAAAGCTTTTATGTTAAGCTCAAATGGTGAGAGTGTCGGGAAAATGAGTGAGGACTAGGTTAAGTTAAGCGTTCAATCCCCTTTAGTTGTATTTAAAAAAAGAAAGACTAAATTGTAGCTATTGTCACTCAATTATACCTTGGTTTGGATTTTTCGTCCAACATGGGTTCAAGTTGAAGGACAACAACTGTTACTGGAATTCAATGATGAAAATGCAAATTGCAGTGTAGTTCAAGGATTGTTACTACAATTTATTGGTGTAGATAACTTCATGGGCTGTTCCATTAGTAATCAATATACAGGGTGTCTCATAATCAGTGTGATTCTGGCACATTCAAGCTTTTAGTTTCTACAAATCCAAAAATGTTTTCTATTTGATACTCAGAGGCCAATTTACATTGATAGATTTTGAATGAAAACCAATTCAATCTCTTAATGAGTCTCAACATGTGTACCCAAGTAAGAGGTTGCCAAAGCAGCATTGAGAGCTGCTCCTACAGAAAGAGCCTCTTCATCAATGACAAAGTGAGATGTGTGCAATGGCTGATCTGATTTGAGACTCTCATTCTTTATTCCAAGCACAAAAATTGTTGCAGCAGACTCCTTTGGGTAGAAGCTGAAATCCTCTTCTCCCATTATCAATGTGCAATGGCTGATCTGATTTGAGACTCCCATGTATCTCGTTGGTCGGAAAGGACCAAAGCTTTACCCTAGTTACCTTCGCAGTCAGAGAGAATAATAAGAGAATCATCAACTGAAGGAGCTGCTGTGGGCAAAATACAGCACGCCCACCTTTTCCGTGAATTGTGACTGAAAATCTACCAGAGCCTGCAAGCATTGGACCTGGGCTGGAACCAATAGTACCAAGGGGCATTAGAGGTTGAATATGTAACCAAAAAATGCCTTAAATATTATTGGTGTAGATAAGTTCAGGGGCTGTATCATTAGAAATCAATATAACGGGTGTCTCATTAAGTTTCAATGTAATTCTAGCACATTCAAGCTTATGGTCTCTTCAAATCCAAAATGTTTTCTATTTGATACTCTGAGGCCAATTTACATGATGGATTTTGAATGAAAACCAAAATTCAAGGTCTTAATGAGTCCGAACAACAAGTGTATCCAAGTATGAGATTGCCACAGCAGCATTGAGAGCTGCTCCTACAGAAAGAGCCTCTTCATCAATGACAAAGTGAGATGTGTGCAATGGCTGATCTGATTTGAGACTCTCATTCTTTATTCCAAGCACAAAAATTGTTGCAGCAGACTCCTTTGAGTAGAAGCTGAAATCCTCTGCTCCCATTATCACTGGGCAAAGCTCCACATTAGGTTCCCCAAGCAGGGCCTCTCCAACTTTCTTCACATGCTCATACAACGGTTCATCATTGATCATTACAGGATAAGGCAATGGTGTGTCTTCCATGAAGTCCACTGTACCTTCACATCGATGCACAGCTGCCTGCAGTTCTATGACCTGCAATACTTTTTCGGTTAGATCACTCCGACTGAAAATTGGTACTTTATTCGATTGAAAATTGTAATGGAGGAAATTCATGGTCATAGAGTGATTGCCTATTTTACCTCTTTGATCCTTTTTTGGAGATAGGTGAGGCCTTCATTAGTCAAGCTCCTAAAAGTTCCCCCAAATTTCACAGATTCAGGGATCACATTTCCTGCTTCACCTCCCTTTAAGAATCCAACTGTCACCACCTACATAATTGATAATTCAAATTTACCAAGAATGGAATTATGGGCTCTTCCTGTCACTGGTTTTGAATATGAAAATTAAAACATGTGAAATTATATGCTTAATCAAATTTCATTAAAAGGGAGAAGAGAAAAGATTACTCTGGCCTCAAGAGGATTTGTTTCTCTTGATACAATCTGTTGAAGGGCCACCACAGCTGATGCTGCTGCTAGAATTGAGTCCTTGTTCTTATGTGGGGCAGCTGCATGTCCACCATTTCCTCTGATTGTGGCTGAAAAGAGGCCAGCACCAGCCAGCATTGGACCAGGCCTTGAAGCTATCACACCAGTGCGTAGTGATGGGGTAACATGTATAAAGAAGAAGGCATCAACGTCGTTAAGAACACCATGCTGTAACATATGGTGAGCTCCGGCATAACCTTCTTCTCCCGGCTGAAAAATCAGCTTCACAGTACCCTTCAAAGCATCAAACAGACATCAAATTTTATGACTTGGGTTTGTTGTTAAAAAGGTATTTACATCGTCCATGAGATTTGAACTCGGAACTTCCTCCACTCAAATAGAGACTAAATGCTATTATCAGTAATTGTGACAAGAGAATATGCACCTTTAATATGTCTCTTTTACTTTGGAGTAATTTGGCTGCACCAAGCAACATTGCCACATGAGAATCATGACCACAAGCATGCATTTTGCCATCTATTTTGCTCTTGAACTCCCACTCTACTTGTTCCTTCCAAATTCAAGGGTGCATTTTGTTTATCAGTGACCCAAAAAAAAAAAAAACCAAATATAAAACAATACCCAGTTTCCATTTGCTGGTCAACAACAAGTCAAAGTTTCATAGCAGAGAGAAAGAGGGAGAGAGAACCTGAAGTGGAAGGGCATCCATGTCGGCCCTGAGAGCAAAAACTGGTCTGGAGCCTGACCCAATAGAAGCCACCACACCAGTCTTGGCAACAGGCCACGCGTACTCAATCCCAAGCGAGTCAAGCTCGGACCTGATGAGTTGACTCGTTCTGTGCTCCTCAAATCCAAGCTCTGGGTACTGGTGGATTCTCCTCCTCACTCCTCTCATCCATTCAAAGAACTCAGCCTCTTTGGCCGACCCCAAGAGTCCCCGAGTCAAGAACTCGAGCTCTTGACTCGGGAGCTCTGACTCAGAAGGTTCCACAGCCCGAGAGTGGCCCAAGATTGTTGACAAAAATAAGCACAAGAGCATCAACCCCATGGTGGTTTTTGGTGAAATTTGAGAGCGAATGAAGCTTTTCTCCTCAAGCACTGCACTTGGTTTACAGTTTTGCGCCTGAAACTTTCCCTTTCCGTTTTTGGCCTTTTGTTTTGGTCTGAAAGTTTCTGCTCCATTTGTTTGTTTGTTAATGGGTTGTTTCTGTTTGTAATTGCCACCTATTCATGTGTGGTCAGTTCACCCACTCACACCTATCTAGTCCAGAAAATAATATGTTTATACGTAAATACAGAAATACTTTTTTAGCAGACGGAAATCTAATTACAATAACAATTTTAAAAGTGCAGGTTAAAAGAAAATATAGGCTTCAAATAAAAAATAATCTATGGTGTACCCTATATATGTCAAGGTTATTGTGATTTGAAATTTGTTAAAAATAGCTTATGGTCTACATTGATCCGTTACTAATCTTAATCGAATCTCGATATTTCTTTCGACTTGTGTAACTAAGTATCTATGTGCCTCTCTTTTTTTTCTGTGGTCAAATCTATGTGCCTGTTTATGTGTAAGGAAATGAGCCTCCATGATTTAGTGATTCATGCACCCATTACAAAAGTTAAGACCCAATGCAATGCCCAATTCGTCTTAAAACTGAGCCCTACCACAAATAGAGGATCTAGGAAGTACAAAATTGTGGTCCTAATTTTTTTGTTTTATATCTATTTATGAACACTGCTATTAGGCCGGCATATAAAACAAAATGATAGACATGAGGAGATAAAGAAGATTTTAAAAATAAGCTCTGTGAGGTAGAAAATTTGGAATCTTTTCCTACATACGCTAAGCAGAGTCTGAGAAGTAGTGCAAAGCAATTTCCTCATTTTCAAAAGTAGTGGAAAGCAACAAACACTCAAAGCAAGATCCCGGGATATAACAAGCGATACTGCCATGATGGTTCTCACACACACACACACTACAAATGTGTCACGGAAATTCAAACCTTAGACCTTTAGGCTAGACCTCGTTGGCATCTTCATCTTTATTTAGTGATGTTGATTGGTTTGCTTCTCCAACTCTAATTCAATTAATTGACTTTAAAAAAAAACTCCACTTCAATTATTTATGAGTTATTCACATAAATAGATTTAAAAGTTTCTAATGAGTTACAGCAGCATCAATATTATCCAAGTAAGAAATTGCAACAGCAGCATGAAGGGCAGCTCCTATTGGAAGAACCTCCTCATCAATTACCAAATAGGGTGAATGCCAAAGTCTTTTTGGGTCCAAAGTCTCGTTCTTTGTCCCAATCATGAAGAATGCAGCTGCCATTTTTTCTGTGTAAAAGCTGAAGTCCTCTGCTCCCATAGACATTGGGAGAAGCTTCACATTTGGTTCCCCAAGCAAAGTTTCTCCCACATTCTTTGCATGTTTGTACATTGCTTCATCGTTAACTGTGGCTGGATAGGGCCTCATTTTTTCCAGCATGAAGTCTACCGTTGCCATGCACCGGTGCACCGAAGCTTGCATCTCTATGACCTGCCAATCATGTACACATTTATGCTCTATCCCAATTGTTTAAACTAAGAATTCTAACAACATAACATGTCAAACTGTCTGACAACGTAAAACGTCAAAACTCCATCTTTGTTGGAGTAAAAAACAATTATATATTGCAGGCTTAAATTAAATTAGACCTCAGATTATACCTCTTGAATCCTTTGCTGAAGATAGTATAGACCTTCTGAAGACATGCTTCGAAAAGTGCCTCCAAGTCTCACTGTCTCTGGGATCACATTTCCTGCTTGGCCACCCTCAACCATCCCAACAGTGACCACCTATAACCGGTCCAAAACAAAAAAGAAATCGATATACGGCACAACCTCTCACATAATGCTCATGTATAGACTAACCATAACAAAGTAGAAAGTAGAAAACTAATGAGAAAATGCAAAAATTATACCCTGGCCTCTAGAGGGTCTGTTTCTCGAGAAATAAGCTGTTGAAGGGCAATGACGGCCGAGCAGGCAGCAAGAATTGGATCTGTGGCCAAATGGGGAAATGCAGCATGCCCACCTTTCCCATGAATTGTGACTGAAAATCTACCAGAGCCTGCAAGAATTGGACCTGGCCTGGAACCAATAGTACCAACGGGCATTAGAGGTTGAATATGTAACCCAAAAATGCCTTGAATGTTATCAAGAGCACCCTCTTTTATCATATGGTAAGCCCCTCCATGACCCTCTTCTGCAGGTTGAAAGACAAGCTTGATTGTGCCCTATAATATTGTACAGATACATGCAAAAACCTTAAGCAATGTATAAAATGGTATGTATATATAAATAAAACAACAGGAAAATACCTGATTTGAGCGTATATTTCAATTGGTTTACCTTGATTTCTTTGCTTTTGCTCTGAAGTAACTTAGCTGCTCCAAGCAGCATTGTTACATGAGCATCATGCCCACAAGCATGCATCTTTCCAGAGTTCTTGCTCTTGTGCTCCCACTCAACCAATTCCTAACAAACAAGAAACCCGATACAATCAATTTCGATAATGTTACTACATTTGCTAATTTTGCTCAACAAATGTGCTCAATAACACTACATTCACTAAATATGCTCCACAAATGTGCATACACATGTCCAAAAAAAAAAAGAAAAAAAAGGAAAATAATGAAGTTTAGCATTGGAGTAAATTCAAGGGAGTTTCACTAAAACACCCAAAATGGAGGTTGAAATTACAAAAAAACTCAACACCCAAAACCCATCATTATACACACTCAAAACCCATTTATAAACACACCCAAAAAGTTGACTTTGGAGTTGATTTTGGGTGTGTTTCTATGTTTAAATAGTGCTTGGGTTTTTTTATAAATACATGTCTAGGATTGGGTTTATTTATAAATTTGTATAAATTCAAATACAAATTTGTTAGGAATGTTAACGACAGTCTTTCACTCCCATTTCGATTCTCAAAATACTGATCAAATGTATCCAATCAATTCAGAGTGCTTAGGTGCGACCCACATTGGCCCTCCACAAGAAAGACACTTACTTGTATTTTGCTATTCCCAGTGCTATTGGATAGCAAAAAATGTTATCTCCTTTGTATGAGAATTTCTCTCCATCTGTTATGGGTCCACTTGGGCAAGGTGACCGGATAATTTTGGGTTTTTTTTTGGGTAATTTTTTGTGGGGTTGTTGACATTCTAGAAAAGAGAGAATATTGGCAAACCTGAATTGGGAGAGCATCCATGTCAGCCCTCAGAGCGAACCAGGGCTGCGACCCAGAACCAATAGAAGCCACCAACCCAGTCTTCGCCACCGGCCACGTGTACTGGATCCCCAGCGAGTCGAGTTCCGATCTAATGAGTTGACTCGTCTCGTGCTCCTCGAAGGCTAGCTCTGGATTCTCGTGGATCCTCCTCCTAACCCTTTTCAACCAATCAAAGAACTCGGGCTGCCTCGCCGAGTCCAGCAGCCCCCGATTCAGCTGACTCAGCTCCCATCTCGGACCAGCCTCCAAACCCCATGAACATGACACATGATTTGTTATTGCTAACGCTGATAGCAACAACAACAGACGCAGCCACTCCATGCAAATCGGAAAACACAATAATTTGTAAATAAATTAAAAAAAATTTGCGAGTCTTTAAGCAATGTATTGTTGTGGGTCTGGTCCAGCCACAACCAAGAAGGGTTTGAAATAGTCTTTTTGTTTTTTCGGGGTCGACAAAGAATATTATAGTAACAAAACTAATCGAATTTACGTAATTGAGACAATGACTTTCTTGTTTATTGTGGCCAAGTTACATTTTAATGAGTAAATAGCTTATCTTTTTTAATTTTTTTTTAAAATTTATTTTAGAATTAAAAAAGATACTAGATAGTTGTGTTTCATAAAAATAGGATATATTATCTGATTTTCTTTTTAATTTTAATTTTTTTAAATATGAAAAGTGTGAATTTACCATGATCTCTAAATGTTGATAGTTTTTTTTTTTTTTTTTTTTTATAAATATAAACGATAGTTGAAACTATAATGAGAGTGTATATATTTTATATAATTATTTCTTATATAAACTAGTATATGTTTTTCTTCAAGATAGAAACTGTAAATCAAGTTCTCTACATATACTTATACTTTAAATATAAAAATATAAAAAATTTCTTCTATACATATGCTAGTGCCACAAATTATATTTTTAAAAGGATGAGTATATGCAGAGAAGTTGATTTCCTTTTTGGAAATTTTTTTTTTTAAAAAAAAAAAAAAAAAAAAAAACAAGGTAAGACCAATTTTATTGCCACCTTATTATTTGCTCTTTGCACTCCATACTAATTTTAAACATGAATAACCTATTTTACCCTTGTACATAATTACCGTTAAGGACAAAAAACATTTAAAATAAAAATTAAATTCGCTCATTACACCTTACACCCCCCCACATATGTTCTTGCAACCCTAGTTTGACTTTTTTTCTCAAAGCATCATGTTCTTACAACCCTAACGAGGTTTATACGCTTATATTGGTGAAAAATTATGTTGTATTTATTCATGAAGGGTGAGAGTAAAGTTAGAGAGGCTTCGAATGAAGTATGAGTTTATTTTTTGTCGTTTTTCAAGTTTAGGATTTCATTATGTTCGTTGGTTGCGTTCAGCACACCAACAGATTCGGTGGGATGCCACTGAAAATGTATTTCAGTTATGTTTGACCGGCCATTAACTTAAGATGCGGTGGAGATCCACCATAACATGGAACGGTGTTCAGTAGTGTATTACCGAATTTTTATCTACAGTTCAGTGGCAACAAACTGAAATATATTTATTTTTTCAGTAATTTATTGTTGATCACAAATTTAATAGAAGCTATTTTGGCCTTACTCCCATTGAAGGAACAAAAACAAGGTGATGCCCCTACTGAAGGCAACAATGTGGGAACAAAATGTGTAATGGACTATAGTGATCAATTGACAACTTATTTGGTAAATATTTTGAGTTTGTTTTTTGGTCTGACATCCTTTTTAGTATCATTAACGTGACATTAACATTTCACATTTTAACTTTAAATAACATGAGTTTAATGTGTAGATATTTGCTGGTAGAGATACATTAATTAGATGAGCTCGTGTACAAAGAAAATGAATAATGTTGTAATTGTAATTAGAATGTCTGATTATGGAGGTGAGGGCAAAATGAGACATCAAGTAATACTTGCTTGTGAGATGAGTGGTAACTATAAGTCTT